TTTCGTTTCATTTCCATATCCGCAACGTATCGTCCCCCACAGTATATTGGGTTGATTGAGAACTTTCTATCTACATTACAGAGGTCACTATACCATACTCGACTGTCTTAGCACCCATGCTCGGCTAAACACCCTCCTCATTTTGGGACATTTCTATTTTCAGGGTCACGTTCGGCTAAGTGCCAAACCCCTCTTAAATGCTCCTAATTAATATTGTAATAAAATGCGAATATATTTTGTGACTATTTCTGTTTCTTCATTATAAAATTTCTCCTGAATCTGTCACATGGTGAACTAAAATTGTCATTTGCAGTTTTTCAAAGGAGGTGCTCGAGGTAGGCGCCCATCCCCCGAAAACACATGATTTTTGAAGCCGAGTACCCTGGGTTCTAAGCCAGACAAGTATGGCATGTTGGATTGGCCCTCATGTATATCAACACACATCATTTATTGCCTTCTCATGTGTGTATATATTTACCTGCAACATCATAAAGTTCAATATATCTTGTATTGACCTACATGCAACAAAGGTCAGTATATGATGTATTGGTCACCTCCTCAAGTCTGTGCATATTTACCTGTCTGCATGCTTACAGAGGTCAGTAAGTTATATTGCCACTGATACTTACATATGTCAGTATATGATTTGCTGATTTCTTGTGTTTATGAATGTATGTACCTGAATCAGAGGGCAGTATATGATGAGTTGCATTCTTAAGTGTGTGTGTGTGTACCTGCATGTCTGCATTAAGAGGTGAATACATCTTGTATTGCTCCCTGCTAGCAATGCAGCAGGCAGTATATTTCTTCCCTGGGTATATACATATGACCGTATTGACTTATAACATATTTGTGAATTACCATACCTGCTTCACAGAGGTCTGTATATGTTGTATTGCCTTCCCATGCACAGTAGTATCCAGGATCACAAGGTGTACAATCCACTACAGACTGTCCTCCCATATTATCTCTGTAAGAACCCTTAGGACAAGGATATTGTGTTGCATACTCAGTACCTAAGTAAAAAACACACACAATTTACATTCTTTCAAAAATAAGTACTATAGATAAATTGACAAGTTTGAAATCTTGTTGAAAAACCCATTTTACAAGTAGAAATTAGTTAAATATACAACAAATAAACAATTGTTTGAGTTATTGGAATTGAAAGATCTGTTAAGAGTGGTGACATTAATAGCATTTTAAAAAGAGTAAATAGTTTTGAAAAAAGCTATTTGCATTGTATAGCCACCCTTTTTTTCAACTGAATAATCATGGGGGTGAAATTTTAAAGTCGTCACGGATATTTTACAAAATAAAAACAATTAATCAACTAAATCATATTGGTAATATTCTCGCCAAAATCATGTTCATTCCAGACAACAATATTCCTCACAATGTATACAAAATATCTGTACTCATATTTTAAAATTTAAAGACAAAGCGCTACTGCAGAGTGAAGGGAATTAGCCATTTGTGTTTTGAGTTTTGCTGACTTTCCTCACGGTGTGAAAGCCCTCCATTGACTTCCACAGTGAAATTGAAAAGTGTGATGTCAGTCCGTGGTCAAGAATAATTAATGTCTTAAAACTGCAGGAAAATGATCATTGCTATTTAATTTCGCAATTTTCTAAGATTTGTGAAAATGCACATATTAGAACCTTGCAAGCTGATATGACTTGTGTTTACTTAGGTTCACTTGTCTCATGGGAAATTTTCTTTATATATTTTGATGATTTTTTAGCACAAAAATGGCCACCATTCGGCCATTTTTAATAGGATCGTCAAACCTATATATCTGTATATCTATGACATGATGTATAATGAATTTTAAAATTTGAACATAATCAGTCAAAGCAAGTCAGAGATATGGCACTAGAACCACATTCATTAAAACAAAATGGCTGCCAGTTGGCCATTTTCAATCTTATCTGAAAAACAAAATGATGTGCATCACGGTCCTATAATGTCTAATGTATATACCAATTTTGAACAAAATCCATCTGTAAACAGCCGAAAAATGTTTGATTTTGATGATTTTTAGCACAAAAATTGGCCGCCATTCGGCCATCTTAAATCAGATCGTGAAACAAATTGATGTGCATATGTATAATATCATGTATGATGTATGTGTGAAGTTTGATTGTGATTGGTCTAGGCATTTCTAAGATACAGGTCCGGACGCATGCACGGACGCACACACGCATGGACACACTGAGGTCAAAACATAATTCCCTGTTTTCGGACTGCATCCGAACAGGGACTAATAAAATTTTAGATTGGACCCTCAAGTATGCCTCACCAATAACATATGATTACTATATGCACTATAGAACACAATAACATGTACTCACCATTGGGACAATAGTGTCCAGCTGGACAGACATAGGGTAGATATGTAGTCACATTCGCAGGACAGTAATACCCTGCCTCACATGAGAAACACACAGCCTGTTGTTCTATATCATTATATGTTCCTGCTGGACATTCAATCGGCACCGACGTACCAGGTGGACAATAATGACCAATTGGAC